TAAACCTGTTAATCCAGACAGTCCACAATGCCCAGGGAAATAGGTCTAGAACCCTGTTAATCCAGACAGTCCACAATCCCCAGGGAAAAAAGTCTGGAACCCTGTTAATGCAGAATGTCCACAATTACAAGGGAAATAAATCTGGAACCCTGTTAATCCAGACAGTCCACAATTACAAGGGAAATAGGTCGAACCCTGTTAATCCAGACAGTCCACAATCCCTAGGGAAAAAAGTCTGGAACCCTGTTAATGCAGACTGTCCACAATTACAAGGGAAATAAATCTGGAACCCTGTTAATCCAGACAGTCCACAATCCCAAGGGAAAAAAGTCTGGAACCCTGTTAATGCAGACTGTCCACAATTACAAGGGAAATTAATCTTGAACCCTGTTAATCCAGACAGTCCACAATCCCCAGGGAAAAAAGTCTGGAACCCTGTTAATGCAGACTGTCCACAATTACAAGGGAAATAAATCTGGAACCCTGTTAATCCAGACAGTCCACAATCCCCAGGGAAAAAAGTCTGGAACCCTGTTAATGCAGACTGTCCACAATTACAAGGGAAATAGGTCTAGAACCCTGTTAATCCAGACAGTCCATAATGCCCAGGAAATAAATCTGGAACCCTGTTAATCCAGACAGTCCACAATTACAAGGGAAATAGGTCTAGAACCCTGTTAATCCAGACAGTCCACAATGCCCAGGGAATAAATCTGGAACCCTGTTGATGCAGACTGTCCACAATTACAAGGGAAATAGGTCTAGAATCCTGTTAATCCAGACAGTCCACAATGCCCAGGGAATAAATCTGGACCCCTGTTGATGCAGACTGTCCACAATTACAAGGGAAATAGGTCGAACCCTGTTAATCCAGACAGTCCACAATCCCTAGGGAAAAAAGTCTGGAACCCTGTTAATGCAGACTGTCCACAATTACAAGGGAAATAAATCTGGAACCCTGTTAATCCAGACGGTTCACAATCCCAAGGAAAAAAAGTCTGGAACCCTGTTAATGCAGACTGTCCACAATTACAAGGGAAATTAATCTTGAACCCTGTTAATCCAGACAGTCCACAATCCCCAGGGAAAAAAGTCTGGAACCCTGTTAATGCAGACTGTCCACAATTACAAGGGAAATAAATCTGGAACCCTGTTAATCCAGACAGTCCACAATCCCCAGGGAAAAAAGTCTGGAACCCTGTTAATGCAGACTGTCCACAATTACAAGGGAAATAGGTCTAGAACCCTGTTAATCCAGACAGTCCACAATGCCCAGGAAATAAATCTGGAACCCTGTTAATCCAGACAGTCCACAATCCCAAGGGAAAAAAGTCTGGAACCCTGTTAATGCAGACTGTCCACAATTACAAGGGAAATTAATCTTGAACCCTGTTAATCCAGACAGTCCACAATCCCCAGGGAAAAAAGTCTGGAACCCTGTTAATGCAGACTGTCCACAATTACAAGGGAAATAAATCTGGAACCCTGTTAATCCAGACAGTCCACAATCCCCAGGGAAAAAAGTCTGGAACCCTGTTAATGCAGACTGTCCACAATTACAAGGGAAATAAATCTGGAACCCTGTTAATACAGACAGTCCACAATTACAAGGGAAAAAGTCTGGAACCCTGTTAATGCAGACTGTCCACAATTACAAGGGAAATAGGTCTAGAACCCTGTTAATCCAGACAGTCCACAATGCCCAGGGAATAAATCTGGAACCCTGTTAATGCAAACTGTCCACAATTACAAGGGAAATAGGTCTAGAACCCTGTTAATCCAGACAGTCCACAATGCCCAGGGAAAAAAGTCTGGAACCCTGTTAATGCAGACTGTCCACAATTACAAGGGAAATAGGTCTAGAACCCTGTTAATCCAGACAGTCCACAATCCCCAGGAAATAAATCTGGAACCCTGTTGATGCAAATTGTCCACAATTACAAGGGAAATAGGTCTAGAACCCTGTTAATCCAGACAGTCCACAATGCCCAAGGAATAAATCTGGAACCCTGTTGATGCAGACTGTCCACAAATACAAGGGAAATAGGTCTAGAACCCTGTTAATCCAGACAGTCCACAATGCCCAGGGAATAAATCTGGAACCCTGTTGATGCAGACTGTCCACAATTACAAGGGAAATAGGTCTAGAACCCTGTTAATCCAGACAGTCCACAATGCCCAGGGAATAAATCTGGAACCCTGTTAATGCAGACTGTCCACAATTACAAGGGAAATAGGTCTAGAATCCTGTTAATCCAGACAGTCCACAATGCCCAGGGAATAAATCTGGAACCCTGTTGATGCAGACTGTCCACAATTACAAGGGAAATAGGTCTAGAACCCTGTTAATCCAGACAGTCCACAATCCCCAGGGAAAAAAGTCTGGAACCCTGTTAATGCAGACTGTCCACAATTACAAGGGAAATAAATCTGGAACCCTGTTAATCCAGACAGTCCACAATTCCCAGGGAAAAAGTCTGGAACCCTGTTAATGCAGACAGTCCACAATGCCCAGGGAAAAAGGTCTAGAACCCTGTTAATCCAGACAGTCCACAATGCCCAGGGAATAAATCTTGAACCCTGTTAATGCAAACTGTCCACAATTACAAAGGAAATAGGTCTAGAACCCTGTTAATCCAGACAGTCCACAATGCCCAGGGAAAAAAGTCTGGAACCCTGTTAATGCAGACTGTCCACAATTACAAGGGAAATAGGTCTAGAACCCTGTTAATCCAGACAGTCCACAATGCCCAGGGAATAAATCTGGAACCCTGTTGATGCAGACTGTCCACAATTACAAGGTAAATAGGTCTAGAACCCTGTTAATCCAGACAGTCCACAATGCCCAGGGAATAAATCTGGAACCCTGTTAATGCAGACTGTCCACAATTACAAGGGAAATAGGTCTAGAACCCTGTTAATCCAGACAGTCCACAATGCCCAGAGAATAAATCTGGAACCCTGTTGATGCAGGCTGTCCACAATTCCCACCCTTCCCCATCTAAATAATCAGAAAAAATTATTTCCAGCTACAACATAATTTATGTGTTCTTCTATTTCTGGTAAATGTGTTGTAAATTCTGAACATACAGCTATGTTGAACTCTGGTTCAGAAGAGCCAATTTTGATTGTTTATTTTTATTTCAAGCTTTTGAGCGAAAGAAATTGAAAAAATTGGGTGGTCATTAACTTCTTTTGTGTTGTAGTAGTGAGTGAGTATGGTTTTACTCCGCTTTTAACAATATTCCTGCAATATCACGGCAGGAGACACCAGAAATGGGCTTCACACATTGTAATATATAGTGAATGTGTGAATGTTGTTTAATGCCGCTGTCAGCAATATTCTAGCGAATCACTGGGAGCCAATTCTTTCCTGGAATGTCCATCGAAGAAAACAGGAACAGGAATTTGACAGACTGAGGCCCTGATGGAGAGACATTAACAGCCACTTACACAAGCCATATTTGGATGTTTCATGCAAGTAAAAGTCCAAAATTTGTATCCACTTAAATGTGCCATATGTCCAACTTCATTTGAAAGGTGGTGAGCTGAGGTGGAACGGGGTTGCAACAAGTTTAACTGTGTGTGTTTGCTTGTGCCAGGACTAATTTCTCTGACTAATGCCGGTTTTATAGTGCTAGCTCACAGAGATACCATGCCGCAGTTTATCATGTCTACCCCACTCAGACACAGTATATCGGCTCCGAGCCGACCAGTCCTTATTTTATCCCCTCAATGTTGAGCACCAGGAAAGTACCATCTTTAACATCTTTTGCTTTGACGTGGCTGGGTCATCTAAAAGGAATATACTTGATCAAAACTAATGAAATAGTTAAAATTATGGTGCTATCCCACCGAGATGCCATACTGCAGATTGAATACTACACACATACACAGTTCACTGACTCAGCTGCCCAGTCCTTGTTTTACCGCATTAATCTGGGAATGCTGAGCACCAGGCAGGGTAACAACAATTACACTCGAGGTCTGTTGTTTGTGACAGGTGACTTGAGTATCAAGTGAGAGGAACATTTGAGTACCGGTATGTGCACTGTACCCCCTGGCCGTTGTGTTGCCTTGGTGTACAGTGTTGTAGGGACTCATGTTCATCTCACTTGAAGCTCTAGGTCTTGCTGCGTTACATTCCATACCATCTGTTAACAGTGGAAGCCTAGTGGCTGAGTGGGCTAGATCGCTGACGTTGTGTGCTGGCGATTAGGTGTCTCACTGGTAGTGTGGGTTCAAATCCCAGACGGGACTGTAAAAAGTACTTAATCTGTACTTTACTAAGAAAGAGTTATCCCACATATTAACCACTGACCTTCCACTCTCTGGTCAAATGCTCTATCCACTGGACCATGGAGGCAGTGAGTGACAAATATACCGGAACTATACCGGAAATCCATGATAATGATGTCATGCGGCTCCAGACAATATTTTGAGCCATTAAGTTTTAGTCACATGCTATCATTCACACACTGTATTAATAATTTGTTTTTGGAATTCAATATATTTTCATTCCATTGGGTCCAGGGTGCAGGATACCAGAAAACCAATGAGCCCACTTGCCAGCAATACAACTGTTTTCAGGTAACATCTGTTCATATGCTTCCCCAAGTGTGTCACATTTGTTCAGAGATAAGTTTTCATATCAGAATGCTGTGTATTTAATGCAAGTCAAGCAGTTATTTAAACTTTGACAATCAGTACTAATAAATAATAGTTTCCAATCTCCTTACATTAGAAATAGGTTTCGCTTTCTTAAAACTTGAAGTTTTATCTACTTGTGCACACACTGAACATGTCTCCCGTAATCGCACCACAGTGTTTCTGTTTCATGCCATTGACCCCGACCAACAATGTCCCCGATTCAGTGTCAATGACATGGCTCCTACATGCAGATATATCAAGTATTATTCATACTTTTGATGCCCTGAAACGCCAACAAAACAGTTACTTCCTGTCACCTCTTCAGTAGATAAAGAAAGAAAACAAGTAAATGCAAATTCGATTATTTTTATTTTCAAAACTTGCTTGTTGAAGCTTACTGAAGAGAGATCTTAAATCATGCAATCGAATATGAATAAATAGTCATAGTTGTACGAAAAGTTGAATATTACTAGCACTAGGTTTTGAAAATAAGCGTAACATGGTCTATTGTGCTCATAAGACGTTGTACATAGCAGCTGAATCAGGGTCAATTATGCTCTTAGATTTGTTCAAGATGACAAGTATAAACACTGCAGGCTAAGTAGTCAACAATATACATCATACACAATCGTTTCTTTCCAATTTTTTCAAACTTCAAATTGAGCAAAATTGAAAATTGTTACATAGTTCATATAAATATCAAAAGACAATACAGATCAATTTAGAAATGTACATAGATATATCATGCGAAATGAGCAAAGTACTAGGTGAAATAATACTAAAATATAATACTATTAATAAAATGAAAAATATGCTTGATTTAAAAAATCAGAACAAATTACAAAATACACAGGAGCTAGTTAGCTACAGTAGGTAATTACAGCGTACAGTGAAAGCCCTCTTACAAAACGTCTCCTGGAAGTAATGCATGCAGATATTGCCTTGGTCATCATTTAGCAGAACACAAACTGTTAATATCAAGAACTTGTTTGCATATTTTTTTTAATACATTTTTTTTTACCTTAGTATTTACATGAAGCATTTTAAAAAAACATTACTCAAAAACCGTTTATGATAAAATGGCTTTGTTATGGTGAATATCGTTTCTCAATGAGTACCAAATTGATGCATTTGTACTTGACGCCATCAGCGAGTCAAAGATAAATTGAAACCCCTTGAGTTGCTCAGGGACTTTGTGCCTATATTGCCTTAGTTTCCTTGAGCTGAATATTCTTCGAAACATGGTATGCTAAATGAACACATTTTGACAGTCTCTACTACATTTCTGGCAAATCCTCTTTCTGTCAAAGAACAAGTCTACCCTTTCGGTTGTCAAACATTCAAATTTCTAAGCATCTTATCTACATCCTTATCAAAAGCTTTGAAGCATGATCAGCAAGAAGATAGCAGATTCTTTGAAATGTTCAGCAATCTCAAAAAACAGTTCACCATTTCTTTCCCATATGCCTTCATTTCACTTCCCATGATGCACCACTCCCTCCCATGCATTTCCATCAATCTCACAATGCATTCTGGTCTCACAGGCGAGTCTCAATCCAATAATGCACTTGAGTTCATGCACGCTACTCTCGTTCATGATCCACAGAAAATAATAGTAGTTTGTACAAAATAAGTGTCCATTTGTATGGTTCAGTAGGTGAGAAGCTACAAAGTGTGTCTAGTCTAGCTCTGCTCTTGTTCACCGTCTTTCACCGCGTCTGATTGCCACCTCTTTTTGTGTTGTTCTCGGCCAAAGCCCTCGTCATAATTTCCTTTGCTCTTGAAAAGTTGCATCAAGTGGTTGGTACAGTATATGATGCCATTATTGGCGGCAAACGTTTTTGGCCTGAAAATATACAAGACAAATCAGAACAGGTTCTAAAACATTTGCAGGTGTGGACTAATACCCTAAGAAATCAAGAAGTAAATTCAACAATTATAGCAAAGAGATTAAATCAACAAGGCACGGATTAATACTCTAAGATGAAATCAACAAGTAAATTCAACAATTACAGCTATGAGATAACAAACTGAAACTCAAAATCATTATAGGAGACAATATATCTCAATCACTATTTGGAAATGAAAAATACTTGTTCATATTATCATAATGTACTACATGTATTCACATTTTATACATGTTTCTTCAGGATTAAAACATGAGCTACACTTAGGATAACTTTTTTCAAACATGCAGTCATTGCTGGAATGACGAGAAAATCCCGAGGTCATAAATCCTCATATTGCCTGAAGTGGTGATAAAATCAAATTTTATTACCCAACGAAAGCTAAAGGAGTAAAGTTTTTAATTCTTTAAGTTTCTAATATACAATGATTATGTGCACATGATATTGTTATGCCCAAATATGTTTGATAAATTGCTTTTCAAATATAACTGTGTATATATCAACTTGGTGTCATTGCTCTATGGCTGAAATAATGCTGATGCGACGTCACATTTTAACTCACTCACTTGTGTGCATATGGATAATGTTGAATTTTATACAAATAACGTCCTGGAATTCAAAAACCTATCTTCTTGTTGGTGAACAGCTCCATCAAGTTTTGTCCTTAATAATTGAAGTTGGACTTCTAGGAAAAGGAATACTGCAATACGCCAGTCTTTCAAAGTGAAACTGCTACATGGCTGACACAATGCGGTTGCTTTATTCATGTTTAGCTAGCTTATACATTTAATCTTTAAGACAAAGACTACTGAAGTATAATTTAGTTTCCTTAGATACACATTTCTACTTAACAATAAGCAAGACAAAACCTCAGCTGTAGCACTGTGGCGAGACATGTACACCTATTTCCGTGTGTCCTGCCATTGATTTGGCCACAAGGTTTGTTTAAGTGCACTGAGGGACCTACTGCACCAGCAGTCACTGCAGTCTCTGCTGCACCTCAGCTTCCCTAGACAGGGAAAGGCCCATATTTACCCTTCTATTTGTAAATATATCTAAAAAAGTAGATATAACATTGTATATATAATGTTAATGTGACTGATAATTTGATGGATAAATTTCCTAAACTAGCCTGCTTATCATATCGTTATGTTGGATTTACACATTTAACATGTGACACATGTGTAGCACAGAGAAAGAGGTAAAAACTTGCAAAATGAAATAATTAATGTTTTAAATGTATGCCTTATGCATGTGAACATTTCTCCTTCGGCAGCTTTCCTGTATGATACTGTTCTTTAGGTAAGTAGATTACTGTCTTACTTTCCTGGTTCTGCCAAAACATAATAGTACTGTTGTATTATTACAATACACAGACAGTGACTTTCAACTCCACCTCTCTTACTGGAAGTAATTTACACGTGGTATATTTCCTATTACGTACAAAGTTTACACAGCAAACACTATCTTACAGTTAATACAGTTAATACAGAAAAATCAGAATGAAATTTCTGAAGTTGGTAATGGAAAGTGTGTGGCACAAATCCTGCTGTTATTGATGTATGGCTGACTACGTTGTGGAGAAGTGACATTCTCACTGACCGCCGAGTGGCCGATTTACATTTACCAAGAATAAGCTGCGAAGGAGTGTTAATTAGCCGAGGCCCATCTCGCTGATTGTGGCACAGAAATAACCATACAACAGTCTTTACCTCTGTACACAGACATGTACTGAGAATAGATACAATTTTCATCAATTACAGTCAGTGTAAATATGTATACATGATTAACGTTTGTGTATTTGTGTCAGATGAATATCCGCTACTTGGTGCGGTCACACTGTGATAAACATCAAGCCTTGAAACAATCAGTAACTGACTTACCCACACTTTATTTACACAGTAGAGAATCTGTTACCACGCTAACATTAACTATTTGGTGTAATTAACACCTAACCATGCAAAATTAGTGAATTACTGTAGCCTGTTTCTAAGGTTACAAACCTCTGAAAGCACTAAGTATGGTGTCATGCTTTACAGGTCATGCGGTAAAATGCACATTTATGCAAAAGAAGCAGAAGAGTGAACCTTATTAAACATACGTTGAAATGTTATTTACAAACAATACAATCTACTGATAAATATCTTTCTGAAAAGTACCTGAGACAAACAATACACATGATCTAAGTTATTTAAACCATTGTCCCTTTCACCACTTTACCAAGTGTCTCAAGTGAAGTACCTGGACTATTGCTCTCCACACCTGGTATGTGAATCAATGACTTCCATGAATAGGGATAATGAATTCAATGTAACATGACCCTTGAAATGAAAATGTCTTGATTATGAAGAGGTTCAGAGAACACAACACACTGCCAAGATATGCACCAGTTTGTAGCTGACGATAATGATGGTGGGGGATCAGTGAGGAATAAGCTTAATTCTGCAATCAGAAAGGATGACAGGCAATGTTTGGCTTGGCAAGGTTTCTATCTTTCTCATTCTCATTTATAGCATTTTCACCAGCTACGTTTTCGTTTCGTTTCCATAGCTACAAATACCTTTGTGGAGGAAGAATGTTACCGTCCCCAGTTCCAGCTGACTTGGAAGCGCCTGTACCGGCATGTGCAGAAGAATGCCAGTCTGCTGGTGGGGATACAGGAGGACCAGGCTGTGCTAGTAGTGACTGACGACAACCACACAACGCTCATACCATCATATAGGGACAACACATTACGCCCACAACTAACTGGGGAAATACTCTTGAAAAACAAAGCTTGTAGTAATCAAGATATACCCTGATATTCTCTGCTGTAAACAAAGTCATGCTTCTATGTTGTACTGACTCTAGGAAATATACACAAACTGGCTCCTTGTTCAGAGAGTCCTGGTGTCTTGTTGCTTACTGGAAGCCCAAACAAAGACTTCACGTTCACAAATGAAAGAATTTGAATGTACCAAACATCATTACAAAAGAACATTAAATTTGTGCCATGTGTTGGAATTCGGCTAACATTAGATGGACGTGGTGTTAAGGTCATGCGCTGTTATACACAAGAAGTAACAACTGTCCAACGTCACAGTAAAGAATACAGCAAAATGGGGATAAAGCTTGTCTTGTTAATAAGAACCTTCATTCTTTAAAGTCTGCATACACACTTAAAGCAAACACATTTTTCTTTCTGAAATAAAACTATGAATAACAATAACTTCGTCCAACAGCTTGCAGACGTAACTAGATTAACAATGACTATTTTTGTTGCATGCTGTAATTCCATATATTCCCTGCCTGAAACTCAGACCAATATCAAAACAGGACACCTACATGATAATTGTGATCAGAACACAGATAAATGTTTAGACACGGTTTCTAAATTTGATTACTTCTGCTGTTTTCTAAAACAAGCAAACCACAAATATATGAATAAGGAAACTCCACACAGAGCAAGTTGACAAGCTCTGGATATTGTTGTACCAACAGCCTGTATGATGGCAGAGAGAAGTGATGGGCCGTAGCATACACACACAGACAAGCAACCAGCATGTGCAGACCAACACAGCCAGACACAGGGACCCACAGACAACCTGGCCACAGACACACGGAGCACGGAAGGATTGCTGACAACAGCATGCTGGCCAGCTCTTGACTCACGATACATTAATTAATCAGTTTGTGTGCATATCTTGGCATAGTTTCTGTTCCCATGCATGAGAATAGGTCGCGTAGACAAACACCAGTCTCTCACCTGAAACTGCTCATCTTGTGTAGTGCTTGTCAACGTCAGGTTCATAAAGCATTTAGAATATCAACATATTCAAAGCACCAATATTTCATTTAATACCTTATTTTGAAATTGCTTTGGAAATTATTGACAATCATGTTCCAAAATTCTTGTTTTTGAGTAAAGCATGTGAATGTTTTGAAGTGCTACTCTGCAGTGGTAAAACAGGACGGACGTTGTCAAGTTGATGACACCCGACACTGCAAGACCAGATGAGAATGACAGATTCGGCAGACTGGGTTTGAACTCACGCACAATTGTAACCATTGTTGATTTCTTACGTTAACTTTGATTTGCAGTGTGTGCATCTAAAGCAGTTCTTGTGGTATATCACTTTGTTCATCTCAAATTTCTCCATTGCATATACAGTTTTCTGGCAAGCCCCGCATTTGTCCGCTGGCGTCGTTGGAATGAAAAATCCACCCTTTTTTTTCGGTGTTGCTGCTTCCTGTGAGATCAAATTAGTACAAACAACAACATGGGAATTAGTCAGGAAATTATGAATAACGCAAGCAGGCTGTCAAATCATTCGGACAATGACAAGAGCAACAGAACATAATAGTCAGCCATAATGCATATCACATCTATGTACATGCAATGCATGCTGGGATACTGACATGCTCACAAAGCTTCAAATAAGTGATAACTTCTCTGTGACCTGTCAGTCTTACTATCTCTGAAAACAGTTATCTGTGTTAACAATACTTGGGATACCTATAAACTTCAAATCAAGTGTCAATTACCTCTGACCTAGTGGGCGGAAAAAGGCTCGCCCAATCATGTGACAGGATACCAGTCTATTTCGGGATGAGTGAAGGAAACCTACACCTCATTACTGGCGGACAGCTTCTCCAAAGAAATGCAGCCAGCACATAATGTGCTGCATTATTTCAGAGCTTCCTATCTGTTTTTCTGCTTCAAGATTTTTTAAAGTGGGAAGGGTTGGGCCAGATTTAATAAAAAGACTAAAATAACAGATCCTGGTGGCAATCGACCCGACATCTCTCATTCCAAGACTGACAAATCCTCAGCCTGTAAACTTCAAAGACTTAAAGAATTTAGACTTCATTTAACCTTTGACCTGTTCAGGTGAAGTGATCAGGTAGCTTCAGGCACTAGGATCTTCTGTGCAGATCAGGAATCGGGCAGGGTTGGAATGTCTCAGTAAAGATTGCCTTAAGTATTGGGAGCCAGCATGTCAGGATGTGCTGTAGGTTCTGGCAATGTTGTCAGGTAACAGCAGACCACTCCCTCCTCCTGTGAAATCCTTGAGTCAGGCTGTCTTATTGACACGGATTACATCAAGAGGACTGCCTCGGTTGGTGGGACGGGAGATGGATGGGGGGGAATTACTCAATTATTTACACACCTAATCAGCTGCACATTCATGCCTGGTGTTGGTACAGGTGATACAAGCCTAACCAGGGCGTTCCACTACAGTTCATTCAAGATAACTAAAAATATATTTCCTGTACATGATTGTCAAGCCATTTTCTCCCTTCTAAGCACTCATAATAATGGAATGTTACTCAACATGTAACCTGTTACATAATAACCACAAAATAGAATAGAACATGTATCATTGTCTAAGCAAGGAAAATTACAATTCAATTAGAACTGAAAAATATATATTTATGAGAACAAGATATTATATATGTGAAATGAGTAATGATGAATGAGTGATGATTAGCCTTATACACGGGCAGGGAGGACAGCGTAGGGCATTCATTCAGGGCAACCAGCAGAGGTATGTTTCGGTACTTGTCCAGTGAAAGTTAAATGTTGGCTTGCACTGGGCCCTGGAATGCTACACTGTCCTCCCTGTATGATCGGTATGTCATATTGGCATGTCATGCTATTAGTACAACCACCCAGCTGCAGCTGTAGCCACGGTGACCACTGCTGCACCAGCTGGCCGCATGCAACAATCGGATACACACATGCAGCAACTATATGTGGAGCTGTCATTTCAGCATGGTTTCCCTCTATGTGTAGTTAGTTGTGATGAGGTGGTAGTACATTGCCTTATCCAGAATCAATAAACATGACCAACATAATCCCCTCTAAAACAATTAATGTTTTTTTTTTGTAAACCAACAAGATAAGAGATTATAATGGTAGTTAAAACACAAGTGTCTGAGTGACCTTGACAGTTAGGGTCACATGATCCACTGGCATCAGAGAGACAAATGAAAACCTGACCATGATGATAAACATACAAAGGTCAACCAGCCTATCTGTTATCGCTGCTGATAATTAGATTTTCCTTTTAACCACTGATGTAAATTTCAGTATGTTATCAAGATAAATGCAAGATGCACTATTATGAGACACATGGGTTCCTTGATGTAACCAAATTTCCAAAGATGTATAGCTGGGAATCCTGTCATCTCCTCCTCCCGAGAAGGCTGTTGTCCCTATCCCCGGGGCGTGTTTCACGTTAGTGATGTACTTCACAGACATGCAGGGCTTTTTACACTTGTTGTTGCTGCCTGTCAGAGCTGAGTTGTGATCCAACACTCCACCATAGCAATGTTGACAACACGACGAACAGACAAGACTCATAGACAAATGACAACAACAGACAAGGTCACTGTATGACATGCATTATATGATAACATCACTTGTTTCTGTTTGATCATAACCTTTCTGTTATTGAATCCTGTCTAATTAATAAAAGTTAATTTATTTTAAACATTTATTTAACAATTTCCATTTTTATCCTTACATGATGATTCAATTAAAATTAATTTCCTTAAATGGTCAAAGCCTATAGTCTGAAACAAATACAATATCAGTAAAGTAGAAAATACACTCACTAACAATATTTTTGCTCTTCCTAGATATAGATCATAATAATTATTTAAAGCCATTTTTCACACATAGCAAGTTTAAACTTTTTAATTTCTAAATACATAACAACTTCTGATGAAACGATAATTTTTGGTGAAATGTCAAGCCCACTTTATCGACAAAGGTCACACAGGAAGGACAATCAGCTTAAACTAACTGGCATAGGCATGGTGTACAGTATCCGCCAGTCAAGAGGGAATGACTCATACATGGCTGAATGTGCAGCCTCTGTCAGTCTCTGACCATAGGCTGCAGTGAACTTGTCCCGATCCCCAATGTAAGCCAACGTTTCCCCTGCATGTTTGCAGATTACCAGTCAGGCAAATACCACATTGATTTTCCTTTCTCTATCCTCCAGATATGAGGACTTCAGAGTTCCGTAACACGTAATCAGCTTAATACCACCATCATACGATCTGTGGACCACGAATAGATCGTCCAAAAACACCATGTTTACCATACTCTATGGTGATGTAGGTTGGACTGCCGAGTAGCTTTGTCAGTACTTGCTTCAGCCCAAGTAGCAGCATTTGTGTGCATGTATTGACCATGTGTGTGCTTCACACTGGAATATCATGCGGACTGGTAGTTTTATTTCCTGTTGCTCATTGTGTGGCTGTGACTGGTGAATATGTAACCCACAAAGAAGCCAATACCCAGGTACTGAATTAACTACTATAGAAGATTGTACAGGGACTTTAACTCTGTTTAGGCTGACTTGTATCAAGGACACAACAGGTCATTCCACTGGGACAGGGTGTGTTTCTTATACCAGGCGAAAAAAATCAGTCAGCCAAGACCGTGATGGGATATAAATGTTTGGATGAACAAAAGGGTCTGTGTTGCGTACAGAGATCAGATGAGATTGGCTGCCACTTCTTACGAAGCAAAAAGCATTTAATGACAATGGTGACACACGCGAATTGTGGTGATGCTGTGTACTTAGTGATCTATTATCCCACATTCCTAAAATATGCCACAAAGGAGTCACTGTGGACATAGATTTCAGAATCTGACATATGTTCCACTCATTGTGTATTTACATATGAATATAGATAGTCCTCCATGGAGGATATTGTGGCGGTACTTATAGTGAAGCTATGTCAAAAAAGTCCAATGAAATCAGCATCAGAAGTGAAACACAAACATGATAACACACCCATGATTATTACATCGCTACGTTACAATTTCAAAACAGGAAGTCACCAAAGTTCATTTATGCGGAAATTTACTGATAAACTGTTTTCCTGTAAGCTCGTACCATGCACCGCTCAGTACATGTGATAACACCATGTTCACGCCCTCACTTTCAGAACAGAAACACAACCTGTGTCCCACGAGCTACTCTGCTGAATGACAGGTGCGGGCCATCTTGTAATTTCCAGTTAAATTGCTACTGTCTGACAAAAGTAGTCGGTGTATATTGTATTCCATTGTTGTCAGTGAATAACTGCTGCATCATGACGGAGTCCTGCTGCACCCACGGCACCAGAGTCATGGGTGGATCGTGCACACATGGCAACAGAGATGAAGTGTTGGAAAAGAGCACATCCACGAATGTGTGTCCGACAGTACGGGAAACACATAACATGTTACAGTGGCTTGTTGGAGGGTACTTCCATGTGTGTGGGGTCTTCACCAACCCATGCTTGCCGTAAAAGGCGACTATGCTTGTCCTAAAAGGCGACTAACGGGATCGGGTGGTCAGGCTCGCTGACTTGGTTGATGCACGGTCATCGTTCCAAATTGCGTGGATCCATGCTCATGATATCAATCACTGGATTGTCTGGTCCAGACTCGATTATTTACAGACCGCTGTCATATAGCTGGAATTTTGCTGAGTGTGGCGTTAAACAACAAACCAACCAACCATGTGTGTGGGTGTCATTAGTCCAAAAATTCAAATATACATTGATTTGAGCTGATGCTGGGCCTTAACACTTTAGTTTGGAGGTGTTTAGACACCTGTGATTTGGCCTCAGTATCCATATCCTCTATCTTGGCAAATATAGTACATAAAATCAAATCAATGAATCCTTATCAGTGGGTTTACAGAGAACATACTGAGTTTTAGCATGGATGTCCATAGCAGTGTTTACTGGCCAATGACAGAAACAACGATTAACATCCTGTTTATAATGTGAGTTGTGTGAACATTGTTCAAAGCAGTAATCATGATGACACGACTCACAAAGAGATCTGGCAATGTTTCAGGAAGCAGAGCATATAGGAATCTTAGTCATCTCTGCTCTTCTTGCACAGTGGCAACAACTCACACTGCCATTTGCATTAAGGTGGGTCCACCATGAGTCAGACAGAGGTGGTTGTGACAAACCATAGCCAACTACTGATCAAACAGAAACAAGTGATGGAAACAAATTGTTAGAACCAAAACCACAACAGGGCTTGAATTAGACTGAATAAACAAATGCCATATTGAGACAGAACCTGGGTCTACTGGTTAGCAAACAAATAGACATGGTGAACTGTATCACAAATACTTTTGGAAGAAATGTTACGAATATGATAAGGTTAACATACTTGACAATGAAATTAAATGTATGAAATTGTGAGAGGTCATGAATAGATGTGGTATCAGTCCCAAAAGTAACACAATGGCAAGTGTATTCCTTGGTACAATTCAAGCCGGGTCATGCATCCTTGTTAATCTCCAAGTGCAGCGGACGCTGTCTGCTGTTGTTAGTAAAACACTACCTACAACAACTAAAGCAGACAACACAACAGAAAGAGATGAAAGGGAGAGATAGTATACGTCTATATGTACATTTTCTTTAGCATCGTCAGGCACACCATTATCATACGTCATAGAGTCGGTATCGGAAGGGGAACTCAGACAAACCTGCGTCACTTCACTTTCAGGGGATTGTCTATCGCCATCCTCCTAAAAGCAGATTTTAATTTCAATCAAGAATTTGGTACTGACTTAACATCTTGAGAGATATTGCCAGCTTGTCCACAAGCAATGACATAAAAATGCCCTTATGAATGTGTTCAAGACACAAACCGCTGAGAATTTTGTGTATCTAATTTCTATTGAGTCCAAGAGGGCTGTGTGCCCTGTACATGTCAAGGTGACCTGGGAACAGAGGTAAGTGTAGGGGAGCAAGCACACATTCTAGGACACTCACTGAAGTTCAGACATAGACTCCCCGAGGGTGGCAGCGTAACGCACTGACACCAGGGACAGCACTGACACCAGGGACAGCACTGACACCAGGGACAGCACTGACACCAGGGACAGCACTGCCATCAACAACATCAACGGGGTCATTACTATAAGATTCGTATCACTAACCATGTTTATAAATCCAGTGTCACTGATTCCACATAAATACAGATGCATTATTGTTGGTTGATGTACTCACAACTACACATTACCATGATTACAGAAATTAATTTAACATGTTAATTAACAGTGTATTATATCCCAATCAAAATTTGTTTGTATTATGAAAACATATTAGAATGATATTTGAATGTCGCCCATATCAATAGAACTAGCCAGTAAGTATGTTATAATATAGGATGGAAGTTTGGCCTGTGAGTTGGTCAGAAGGTCCAGACCCTGCATGTCTCATCTCGTCATGTGACCTGTGTGATTGACAGGTGTAGGTATCAGGGATGAAGGCCAGTTGTCAGCAACATATAATCTTTCATGGACAATAATGATCTGTTTGTGCAAGTCACACAGACTATGCCATGAAGATAACTTTTCCTACGTCACAAGGCAATCAGCTGACTTAAGTTGACCTCATCTGCATATCTGATCAGTGTCATTATGTATCATCATATGAATTCATATGCTCCAAAATTGCAAGTTATTTAGTCCCATGGCCTATCTTTAAACTTTAATTGCATAACAAATTGCAAGTTATTTAGTCCCATGGCCTATCCTTGAACATAAATTACATGACATATTGCAAGTTATTAGTCCCATGGCCTATCCTTGACGAAAATTACATGACATATTGCAAGTTATTTAGTCTCATGGCCTATCTATAAACTTATAAAATATGACATATTGCAAGTTATTTAGTCCCATGGCCTATCCTTGAACATAAATTACATGACATACTGCAAGTTATTTAGTCCCATGGCCTATCCTTGAACATAAATTACATGACATACTGCAAGTTATTTAGTAAATACATGACATACTGCAAGTTATTTAGTCCCATGGCCTATCCTTGAACATAAATTACATGACATACTGTAAGTTATTTAGTCCCATGGCCTATCCTTGAACATAAATTACATGACGTACTGCAAGTTATTTAGTCCCATGGCCTATCCTTGAACATAAATTACATGACATACTGCAAGTTATTTAGTCCCATGGCCTATCCTTGAACATAAATTACATGACATACTGCAAGTTATTTAGTCCCATGGCCTATCCTTGAACATAAATTACATGACATATTGCAAGTTATTTAGTCCCATGGCCTATCTACAAACTTATAAAACATGACATATTACAAGTACATTTAGGCCATGAAATACCTTAACTGATTCCCATATTTTCCAACTAACATTAAGTGTGAAAGCCCACATTAGCAAATGCACAATGCTACAACTAATTAAATAGTATACTAGAGTAGTACTCCACATGAGACTGGAATCTGATCCTAATGATTTACTAGCCAGTAGGCAACTGATTAAAATTGACTGATTATTCATAGCTGATTTTGAATTTTGAAGAAATAAAAAAATCAGCCATAAAGATTTAACAGCCTTAAGGGCTGATTGATCTACTGTTTCATCGATTAACATTAATCAAACTGGATTAGAGCAATAACCCAAGGAAGTCATTTTATTATCCCTCAGGCGATAGTTTTTCCATGTTTTACTTTCCTCTTGCACTATAATCGGCATACATTTCTCACACTTAACCAAATCTAATCGCTCCTATATCGGACACACAAGAATTCACAAGCATCACTAGAATCAGGGCTTCTGTGTAGGTACGACTTATAAGGCTTGTCGTCTCTCGGCCAGTGGTGTCACAAAACTCATCAAATGACCTCAGTGAACTCCAGATGACCTTTGATTTTTGCTACAGTTTTAGGTTAGGGAAAATGCTTGACATGCTGGAGGACTATTTTTCACTTAATTAATTCTCTACACAACAATATCTGGTATCACGACAACTGCTGTCCCTGATTAGATGAGTAACTCCACATCAAATGGGCTTTTGTTGTTGAGTTTCTGATGTTGGTATCAGCAAGCACCTGCTTCCAGTCATGATTATTTCCTTCCTATGTTTCAAGGCCGCTCCGCTCAGTACCTCATGTACAGCAGACACTATCACAGAGCCCTACAACACGACACCTAGAATTCTGTTTGTCACACTTAATAGGACATTAGTCATCAAAGGTACTTTGGAATGTCACTTGAGCATGTGACAAAAAATAATCAAAACAAATGACCAATAAGCTGAATGTGTAAGTTGAGATATATATATTATCCCTCAAATATATATACAGCTTTGCTAGCTACTGTCAAATCTTAGTTGGGGCAAATTCGTAACTTTACTTGTTTAGTTCATTCTACACTGACTGACACTGTTGGCAGCAGAATACGCAAGTATTAAATGCAAGCATTGTGGTGTGGGAGCCATTTACAATCTGAAAATATGCTTTAAGAAAAAAGACTTGTTTCTTTTGAAATTTAGGTCTGAATGAACGCATGATGTGACATTTTGAGCTTGACAACGGATCTGATAAAGACATCATCCGCCTAAAGAATGTTGGCCCATATCCATATGCTGGCCGTGTTTTAAAACTTCAATAAAACTTGAGACCCATCTTAGATCTTTATCTGGTACATGTTAAGCTGTGGGGAAACTGGAAATCCCCTCAAATGCATACAAAGCCGGATGAAAATCTGCATTTAAAATGTCAAGTTTACATTCAAGTCAAGACACTGGCACTGAACATACGCCCTCTTTTCATCAAGCATGTGCAATCTGCCATTAGATCACATTCCTTCACCTTCAAGGACCCATCCCGTACCTTAGACTGCATGAGAGGTTACAGAGGCTAATAAAGTCTTTTGTCATATTTGAATAATTAACTCAGCAAGGTGATACTGGAATATCTGGCTTGGCAAGGACTAGCTGAGTTTGTGGGTATCAAGTGTCTGCCCTAGTCTGTAGAAACACATGCAGCAGGGTCACATGATATGTGGTCAAGTTACACACCATTTGTGCAAAAACACATTCCTATCGACTGTGCTCCCACCTAAATAACCCTCACCTTCTTCTGTACATGAATGATATCCCATTTTATTGTCATTGTTGATTTTTATTATGATAATTATGATATCATTATACCCAATATATTATCAATAAATCTAACACATAAAAATTAGTGATTGATTTATATTTGTTTATTTGGATTTACAGAAATTGAATCCTATCAAAATATTGTAAATTATGTATAGATTTGAATTTTGCAAATAATCCAATCATGAAGAAATATTTAGTGGGATGACACTGGAATTATAAATAGCTATAGTAAGTAATTCATTAGATACAGGTCACATCACAACTATCAGAACCAACACTGCAACCAAGAAATCATTCAAAATAGTTTCAGGGTCAGTGTGCTCTGAAGCTTGAGTAACCTAGGATAGTCATTTGTGCTTCAACAGCCGGAAATATATACCACCATTTCATCCTCCCCCAACCACTAGGCTGCCATAGCCAGCAGCAGGTGGCAGAAGCAGAGCTATCCTTCCCTCCCCACAAAGGGTATTCCAGTCTAATACCCCATGTTCATCCATTGACTAACATACACTATCAAAAACAAGTGAGGCATGGCGAACATCGATGAAATTCACAGATGCAGTGAGCTTTGTCTGCAACAACTTGCTGTCTGCGAGGCCCTGAGAACTGAGGCTAACGGTGTTTGGAATATCATGGCAAATTCCCTAGTGCCAATCTCCAAATATGGTGAGTGAGAGAGGCACTCTCAACAAAGATGACAGCTCAACAAAAGAAAGTGGCAGCATGCAGTTGATGAATCATGGCCACCAAGGAAACTAGCCCCAACTATGTCTGAACTTCAGTGATAATATCCTAGAAAACAGAACAAACTGGTTAGAAACAGTGTTTAGCAGTCTTGGTTAGGCCTACCTCCATCCTGTAGCTCGTCTCAAACTGAACTGGGCCAGTGTCAGTTTTGAAAACAGTGGCAAGCAGGCAGACTATTTATAGATCAATGGAGTCTGGAGATTTTTCCAGGGGAAGTAACTCTAATGTTGAAAACATGATCTGGTGATTTCTTATCTGGTTATATTATGATAAATAGGTCAGACCAGATTTACTACCTTTTGAGCATAACGTTGTACAAAAAAAAAGAATATCAGAAACTTTCTCTACATTAAATGTATCAGGAAAAAGAGGGAAGGGGTTTTTCATTTTTATTATGAAATATATATATACTGGCTATATAATCTATTGTGAAATAAATCTAACCAAGACTGCAAACACATTCTAAAGTCAGCAAATTTGATAAAGTGATATAGGGCAAATTATTTTGACAAGAGGACTTACAATTTAAATGTAGTTTTATCTTAAATATATTCTGTCTGATTATACCAAAAAGGATAGAAAGGATAATTGTCATATTTGCTAACAGGTTGATTTTAAACCAAAAATCTCCCCTACAACCAGTCAATTCACAAAAGGTCAGCATCCTAGTTCAACAAGTAGACTGGAAAATGATAATTCCCCAGAAAATGAAATAACCTGATGTTTTGGTTTGAATGAAGTCTTCCCCAATGAAAATACTGCATACAACCTGTTCAGGTTAACTAAGACTGAGCTCACCATAAATTGATAATTGCTCCTCTTAATAATTGAATCTATTCTTTCAAAACTTTCACTAAATGAAACTGCCATCTTGACTTGATCCAACATAACAATGCAGTATAAAAGTTGGCAATGACAAACTATTCACCCCAGCAAACATAATAAGACACCTCACACTTTGCAAACCAACATTCAACGGAGCTCAAGTGGAAACATAGTTCTGAGAAATGAGTTGTGCTGAAAGTGTCATGAGTATATTACTCCATCTGTTGCCAGCACGACAGAACACACCCACATAACAGCTGCAGGGTCTCTATGGCAACAGATGGAGGGAGATTATCATCTAAATATACACTGTCAAGGGAGATCCGGAATCTTACAAAATATTCAATAAGAGAACACAACAATATTTATAAGTCCCAAAAATTATTGTCCTATTTTATTTCTAAGACTGAAATCTAGTTTATTGTTAAGCTGTGATGAACGTGCAGCTTGCTCGGTGTCTTTTGCTGGCAGCTAGGTACACACACACGTATTATGTCGACACACGGGTGGCCACATATCACACACATAGGATCACATATCACACACATGGCAGATAATGATAGAATGTTCAGATGATGATAATCAATGTCACATCTGTACCTGAGTTTATAGCATGACTGGACACATTGTATCCAACTCAATAGCATTCACTATATACACTCCTGAAGAGAATTCCTTTATGTGAGAGTGCTACACACCTTCCTGGTGACCCAACACGTCAGATACTTCATCACACCCTTTCATCACAGACTCACAATGAAATGAATGACTAAAAGTACTTGACAACAGGATCCAGTAATTAACTGAAAGATTTATGAAATCAGATGGAAACATAAGATTCCAGGGGAACATTGCTGTGTACAGGAAGGTACTCGGGGAACATTGCTGTGTACAGGAAGGTACTCGGGGAACATTGCTGTGTACAGGAAGGTACACGGGGAACATTGCTGTGTACAGGAAGGTACTCGGGGAACATTGCTGTGTACAGGAAGGTACACGGGGAACATTGCTGTGTACAGGAAGGTACTCGGGGAACATTGCTGTGTACAGGAAGGTACACGGGGAACATTGCTGTGTACAGGAAGGTACACGGGGAACATTGCTGTGTACAGGAAGGTACTCGGGGAACATTGCTGTGTACAGGAAGGTACTCGGGGAACATTGCTGTGTACAGGAAGGTACTCGGGGAACATTGCTGTGTACAGGAAGGTACTCGGGGAACATTGCTGTGTACAGGAAGGTACACGGGGAACATTTCTGTGTACAGGAAGGTTGTAGGGGTGCATTTCTGTAGTACGAGTACCTTGTAGTACGAGTACCTTGTAGGACAATGTCCCTTTCAGTACTGACACTGAAGCCTTTTATTTCTTCTCTAAAACAGAGATTCTCTGACTTCAGGTAAACTGTTTGCCTACATGTTTTGGTTGTCAAATATTCTTAGTTTTCAAATCATTATGATAAATAAAATTATAATCAAAAGCTGAAACAAAAAAAAAGTCAACATTTTCTCTTCTTGTAGATTCACTGTCATGCAGTCAACAACAAACTGGAAAAGTAACATATCAACACTTCAAACCAGCACAGATCCATCAAGTCATGCATCATTCCTGGCCAGAAAAAAAAAGTATATCAAACAGAAAAAACAATTTCAAACACAAAAACAACGCAAAAGAAATAATTCTAACTCCATAAATACACCAATGAAGTATTTTCTTACCTTTCGAGAGATAGGCTTTGGTTGTTCTTTCACTGCTTCAGCTTGTATGTTCTTGAATTTGGCCACCATTTTCTTGGCAGCATTTTCTTTTGGCATACCCTCTGTCCAGTCTGTCTGAGCTTCACTGATGACATCGGAGCGTACCTCTGGCTCGTTCTCAAACACGCCTGGCTCCGCCTGTTGTTGGTACTGGCCTGGCAGGTCGTTAGGGTTGACACTCTCAAACTGCCCTGCCCCTGGGGAGAGTTGGCCTCGGAGCGCCTTTATACGTTCCTCTTCCCTGGGAGGGGTGAACTCCTTGGTTCTGGTTCCTGAACTAGGGCTCTGCTTCCCACTCTGGCTTTCAACCTGCTTCCAGTGGGACACCAGGTTCCTGGCTGTGCCACGCTCGGGAAGCTCTTCTCCATATTTTGCAGGATCTGTTTCCTTGGCAACATCACTCCGAACCTCAGGATTGTTTTCAGCAATGCCACTATCTACCTTTTGGTTGTATTCAGGAACAAATTCTTGTGGCTGGTTCTCGAAAACACCAGTCTCAGATCGTGGTGGAGTTATGCCCCTACGGCTGGAGACTGCTACCTTGCTGTTTTCCTGTTCAATCTCCTTGAATCGTGAGACAAGATTCCTGGCATAACCTTTTTCTGGAACGATCTCCTCAATTTGGTTATTCTCACTGACGACATCAGGTGAGGTCTGGGGCTGACTCTCATACACACCACTTGAAATTCCCTCCCTAGGTGGCGTAATTTCCTTCACCCGGTTGGGGGTAGGTGGCGGGGACTTCATGTTATGTTCCATCTCACGGAACTTGGAAGCAACATTTCGGGCAAACCCTCTCTCAGGAAGAGGTTCATCAACCATTTCGTCACTCCTTACGACATCAGTTCGTTCAACTGGCCTGTTTTCATAGACTCCTGCCTCTGCCTTGCCCTCATACATCTCCACATAAGCTCGAGGCTCGCTGACATATTCTCCTCTTGTGTTTCTGTCAGGAGTTATCTCCCTTTTGCCCCTCGCAGCATAGGATGGTGAGCTCTCCATCTGCTTGAAGCGCTGAGCAATATTTTTAGCAGAACCTCTTTCTGGCAGAATTTCTTCAACCTCTTGCCCAGATTTAACAACCCCCTCGTAATCTTGTGGCTGGTTTTCGAAAATTCCAGCTTCAGCCTTTCCTTCGTACCTCTCAATGGTTGATGTCGGCTCAGAGACAAATTCAACTTTACCGGTTGCTCTGTCAGGAGTAATCTCCCTTTTCGAAGGTGAAGATCCAGTGTAACTGCCAGCTCCACTCTCTAATTGCTTGAATCTTGATGCAATATTTTTGGCAGTTCCTCTTTCAGGCAGTGGCTCACTGGTGCTGTCAACTGATCTGATGACGTCTGGATTAATTTGGGGCTGACTTTCAAAGATTCCTGCCTCTGCTTTACCTTCATACACTTGAATGTGACTTGCTGGCTGACTCTCGTATTCAAACTTCCCAGCTCCCTGGCGGGGAGGAGTTACCTCCCTTTTGTAATTTTTCGGCTCGTTTGCAATCTGTGTGAATCTGCTGAGAAGATTCTTTGCCATGCCAATCTCGGGAAGCTCTGCTCCAATATCTCGATCACTTTCACGTGCAACATTGTCCAGTTGGTCTGGCTGGTTCTCATAAACTCCCTCTTCCTGCTCGTCCCAAGTGATGTTCTGTGACTGGGTTACGTTAGTTGTCTGCTGTGGGCCACCAGATTCAAAAGTGTTCCTCACTGAGGACATCTCAGAGAAATGAACCTGAAAACACAGAAGCACAAAGTGTGAACAGAAGGATAATAAGGTAACATATTACTGAGCTTGTTCTCAACTCATCACAACAGGACAACAATCTCAACAGGACTGGACTGGGATGCTTCTGAAGAAACCTTTAATTTTCAAAATACTTCATGATCTATTGTAGGTCCAAATGGTAGTAGCTTGTTTAGAACTGAAACAATGTAATTCACTATTGATAGCCTGATAAACTTAGCTAGCAGATAAACAAAGGGTGTTTCAACAACTTGAATCAAATGTATACATAGGTGCAGTAAAACAGTGCAGATACTGGTATATCTGAAAGGCTAAGAAGACAAATAGAAGAAGTACTTACATCTTCACGGTCTTGCGTTTCCCGGGCAACATTGGAACTGTAGCCATTCTGCTGGGCAGATCCGCCGCTGAAAAAAGGAAAGGATTAATGCTCAAAACAAGTGAGAACTGTTTCACAGAGAGGAAATGTACAAGGCTTTACACTGTTGTCAGCAATATTACAGACATATAATGGCAGCTTGTATACAGCGGAGCCTGACCAGACAAGCCAGTGGTTACAGGATGTCAATGGAGTCTTGATCAAACAAGCTGACAAGTGACAGACAAGTGGTAACAGAAGGATGTCAATGCAGCCTTGACCAGACAAGCCAGTGGTTACAGGAGAGTGTCAATGGAGCCTTGACCAGACAAGCCAGGGTTACAGGATGTCAATGTCAAAGCCAGTGGTTACACGAGGGTGTCAATGAAAGCTGGATAAGACAAGCCAGTGGTTACAGGAGGGTGTCAATGGAGCCTTGACCAGACAAGCTAGTGGTTACAGGAGAGTGTCAATGGAGCCTTGACCAGACAAGCCAGGGTTACAGGATGTCAATGTCAAAGCCAGTGGTTACACGAGGGTGTCAATGAAAGCTGGATAAGACAAGCCAGTGGTTACAGGAGGGTGTCAATGCAGCTTTGACCAGACAAGCTAGTGGTTACAGGAGAGTGTCAATGGAGCCTTGACCAGACAAGCTAGTGGTTACAGGAGAGTGTCAATGGAGCCTTGACCAGACAAGCTAGTGGTTACAGGAGAGTGTCAATGGAGCCTTGACCAGACAAGCTAGTGGTTACAGGAGAGTGTCAATGGAGCCTTGACCAGACAAGCCAGTGGTTACAGGAGAGTGTCAATGGAGCCTTGACCAGACAAGCCAGTGGTTACAGGAGAGTGTCAATGGAGCCTTGACCAGACAAGCCAGTGGTTACAGGAGAGTGTCAATGAAGCCTTGACCAGACAAGCCAGTGGTTACAGGAGAGTGTCAATGGAGCCTTGACCAGACAAGCCAGTGGTTACAGAAGGGTGTCAATGGAGCCTTGACCAGACAAGCCAGTGGTTTCAGAAGGGTGTCAATGGAGCCTTGACCAGACAAGCCAGTGGTTACAGGAGAGTGTCAATGGAAGATGGACCAGACAAGCCAATGGTTACAGAAGGATGTAAAAGGAGGCAACGACACAGTAAACAGAGATGTCACAAGCAGCCATTGTGCTTGCCTAATACCCATTTCAGTCACCTCTTATGCAAAGCATGAGGTACTGGAATCCTATCCTGCCTAAGAAATTCCATTTGGTCTTCAATGATATTATGCTTTCTACCAGTTTCCAAACCTGTGTATGAAATGATTGGTGTGTTTTACTGAGTGAGTGAAAGGAACGATCAGGGTTAATAGAGAAAGATAAACAGTTAAGGTCAGGTCAGAGGTCAGAGGTTAAAGATCATGATCTAAATATCAGACATAACTGTTATTTATACCTATCTCAAAATCTAAAAAAGTGGATTTTATCCTGGTTTATGTTTATTTGTCAAGTTCCTCTTTACCTGCTATGATTAGTCATCTCATTAGTCAGTTGAAAAGATAGAATATTATTATTGATATCTGGAAGAAGGTTATGCAAATATTTGAGGCCTTAAAACATGCTTGTGTTATTCCAATATGGCCTTCTAGGGTGCTCCGTATCTGTTGATATGCAAACATCATAACGACACGAACCACACATGTGCTCAAAATCTTAATGCTCTCATAAAAATATCTAGAAGATCATAATCCCCCAAAATCCTTTTTCTTAAACATGAGGCTTAGAAAAATTGTTAAAAAACAAAGAAAACTGCTTTGTTTAGAAACACCACAACTATGACAGGCATTAGGAGAAGACGGTATCAGCACTGGTCACAACAGTTAGTGGTCCAAGCTGCCCGAACAGGCGATGATGTGGGAGGGCGGGGACAGGGCGTGGGCGGCAGGGTGGAGCTCAAGACAAACAATACTCACCCCATAGACTGGACGGTAACCTCTCTGACCACCCTGGAGTCGCCCTGGTCACCAAATGAATCTGAAACACAAACCAGACACTGACCATACCTCGTATTGACTCAGGTACGTTTCCCTAAACAAACTGACCCAACATCTTTTGTCTTCAAATTTGTCCACCAGCGTTGCCAACAATGGGATTCACTGTTTCACTGTAAAACAACTGGGACATTTCTCACATTCCTAAAGGTGTGAATGATGATGTTTGAAGTCAGGTGAAAGTGTGATGATCAATACAACATCCACATTCAATGTCAGTAAAGAACATAAATATCAGTAATCCATTGACTAGGAAAATGTATTACAAAAACTAATTAATCATCATATCATTCCTAACATCAACATGACAACTGGATACTGCATTTATAGTTTACACAAATGGTGGCATGTGGCATGTCAAAGAAGGAATGGAATCTTACAAAAAATGATTAAGTAGCATATAATAACAATAATTAATATCATACACCAATGTTTTCTCTCTGTCAGGTTAACAAGGCGTGTACCTGTGATTGTGAAACTATAAAACAGTTACATGTATTTGAAAACATATGGTGAAGTCTGCACTTTGCTCACCTCTGTCTTATCAAAATGTAACCTCGGCCCACAATGTGCATCTTATCAAACGAAAGATAGTCAAACACACTAGCCAGTCGGGACGCTTCTGCTGTTAAATGGCAGGAATTGTGAGTCAAGATATTCTCAGAAAGTAAACAAGTTAAGAAGGTCGCATTCTTGGGGTCATAAACCTGGGCAACTGGGTCACAATTTGAGAAAATCAATATTCTTTTCCTCAGACCATTCCCTGGTGGCACAAACATTATGGTGAAGGCAGGAGGATTGTATGAGAGCTTCATTGAGTATTATGCTGTCATTTTGTGAAGCACTTTAAAATCTTGTATCACTAGTTGACAATGAGGAAAATATTGCAAAAATCTGCTCTGAGTCATCTTCCCGAGGCAAGTGAGTTAACTGACTATAAAAGTCCAGTTTCCACCATTGCCGAACTAAGGTGGAATTCCTGGGCTCGACCGTAGTGCCACCAGTGGTTATTACGAGTTATGTTCCTTCTAAGCCTCTCCTATGGACCAATCAGATTCCACCTCTCGTATCACTTGCATTTGTTTCAAACAAAATGGTGGCGCCCAGTCAAAGCGATCTGATTGATAATCAAGATCTATATTGTGATTAAACGGGTCTTACATAGCGAAGTGCATCAAATTACGTGAGCACCTTGATTAAAAACATGAAAAGACTTGGAAAATATCTGTTGACAACGAGTTGGCAGTGCACATGCTTTGCAAATCCTGCTATCAACAGAAATCTGCACGACATTTTACAAACCGGGTTTCGATTTCGGTGCGCGATTTTGATTGAACTATGCATAGACTCCTTAGCCCAGCCAAAATGTAACTCCATAATACCAGCCTAGTTCGGCAAGGGTGGAAATGGGACCTTTATAGTCAGTTAACTCCCTTGCCTCGGGAAGATGGCTCAGAGTGGGAGCGAATTTGTTTGAATGCTGCTTTGAACAGTATTTCATTGATATCATGGCATGTCAGCTTAATATCTGAGGCAAGTCTGAGGTGATGCAGATCCTAAGGCATTTACCATGTTTGTGAAACCAGTGATCATAATTGATGACAAACCTAGAAACATGACGAGGGAAATCCAAAATGATACAAGTCTCAGATGTTCACTTGGTGAAACACACGGTCATGTGTAGAGTGCCGACATTCAAAGGATCATAATCAGCTAGGGAAATCTGCAGAGCTCTAGATTAGCTTTTGGTTACTTGGGTATTTTACCCATCGATTTGATTTTTATGGGGCATCCACAATTTTTAGTGGATATTCAATTTTTTGTTACCCACATGTTTCTTCACATTTGGGTATTTAAACTTGAAAACCCGTTTTGTAACAATCCCTGAAAATCATTTAATACCAAATGAACAGTAGTATACACATGTTTTAAAAAAATACCAAATGTAACTGTCGGTAAATTAATTTTGTGATCGGCTGATACAATCATTTTATCTAACAATGTAATATACACATTAGTTTTATTTCAATAGCATTCTTATAGTTTTTGTTGCATATTTGACATGCTAGAGATTTGATTTGGCTGCATATTTAAGTTTTATATTTAATGCATACTTTACACAAATACACAGCTGTTGTACACCCTGAATCTGGGATTGAAACCCATGATGATCTGGTCAGGGCACGTCTGAGAGTGAATGTTTTTACACTACAATAAGCACTGTACCAGATATACCAGCACGATATCCACTGTCGTCTACAAAGTGGGTAGTGGTGGATGGGTGTGCACTCCTGTCCGACACTGAACATGCCTGGCTCCACCTACACTCTGGTATCACAGTGGACAAGGCCGCCCAGTGCTTGACAGCAATGACCTTGTGTCACAATGACACACGATCAGCCAGGCCATACACTGTGGGTTGTACTACTGCAGGAGCTATGTCTATAGAAGAGTACTTTGTTGACAATCATGGTTGGTAGGCAGTTTTGACCAATGATAGATGTACAAGCAAGCATAGGTTACAAATGTCAAGTTGCAAACCCTTGAATCGTCTAAGAAGGTTCAGCATTACAAATGTGACATCACAAAGTTTAAGGACGCCAACAAGCTTAAAAGAGGTTCTCTTATCTCGACTTGTGACATCACACTTCAAGTGGCAGGGTGGTAATGTCAATAATATCAACTTTCAGTCTAGAACGATTTTGCTAGAATCACTACATTTTCTTCAGGGGTGTCCACATAATGTTTGCATACAAAGTAGCTGGGCTACACGATCAAAGTTTCACAATCATGTAAGGTGAGGTGAAATGGGGCTTAACGTCGTGTACCAGATTATTGTACTTCTGTTGCGACGTGCATGCATGTGTGTGTGTGGCTGCTTGTACTAGTCAATGCTAATTCCAAATTTATAGTGCTAGCCCACTGAGATACCATGCCCCAGTTTACACGAATAACCCACTCAGACACAGACTCTGAGCTGACCAGTCATTGTTTTAACCCCTTAATTCCGAACTAGGCAGGGTAACAACAAGTACCATCTTTTAATGTCTTTTGGCATTTTTTCTTTCCACAATTTAATCAAGCTATAATTGTTTTTACATAAAGTGATATTCAAGCAGAATGTCATAATGCTGCCTATACAATCTATGAAACAACATGAAGAACTGTTAGAATCAATGGCTACATGTGAAATCTATACAACCATGGAGAGCAAACACACAAATAATTCTGTAATCAATGAGAGGTAACCTTCACTCGGTGGACAAGGCAACAGCTTAGAACTGCACCATGCACCTGGGCTCCCCCGCAAACTGCCTCCACATACAGAACAAACACATCTTATTTACATTATGTCAAGTCTATTTTGACAGGTATCATTCAGTTCTAGAGTTATATGTAGCCATGTCTCTATAAATAACGTGGTCTCATGGAAACACACATATATAATATCTTATTGTAACTTTGAGATGTTTAGAGTATTTATAACTTGCAATGTCCCACTGCTGGGTATTATTACCAAAAAGAGCTGGCTGCCACGGGGACTAAAGTGCATGGCGGGATTAAGATGTACTGTATTGATCGCACAATTATCTTTAAACTTTCATGCATGAACACACATACACATCGATCAATACTTGAGTGGAAACAGCCCTTGCTTATTTCGTGTCAATTACACTAACGAAATAAACAAATCAATTACCTTGCACCCCACTGGTGACCCCACCCCTGTGCTCGGTGGTCGCATCATGCCGCGTGTTATTGCTCACTTGTCGCATGTAACAGCTGTACCAAGATGCCAGATTCTTGGAGGCAAGACTGCCTTTATTCACCTTTGCCATGGCACAGCAGGACATACGCGACAGTAAATATGCTCCCAAATCACAGTTCGGCGCTGTCAACTGTATGTCAATAGCAGAAGCACTACAACAAACACACCTTCTTGTTTCCAAATTCACTACTCAAACACTGCCTGATCAGAAGAGTGATTCCATGAGGTGTATGGTCATAGTATCCGTCAACCTCTCTGTTTCATGCTCTATTTGTCCTTCATCAATTTTTAATGACCATCAGTTTTAATTCCAGAGGCACGAAGACCTTCTTACCCAAATACAACTTGAGTTAGAAGAGCATGGAAAAATCCGTTACTAAAACCAATTAAAAAATTCTACTTGGAAACAATCTGTCATAATTCTGCATATCGGTGGTGCACAGACAGAAAAGGCAATGAGTTGCACTATCAAGCTTCTACAGGTATTGATCAAAGAGAGGTGTGTGACATTTGACAGGTACTTCAGCACAATCCACAAGAACGCTGCGTCGCCATGGAACAGAGTCTGTTTTGTCTGTGAACAGGGGAAATCCAATATTCGAGGTAAGTATTCCACAGAAGTAAGCTCTGATTTGAAACAGTTTGGAGTTCAGTTTCCTGTTAGACCACTCCGAATGTCCCCAAACATCGTGAACCTTTGACCTGGAGTTGCAGACAGGTGAAACTGACATGCCCTGACTAATTAAGTGACATGAGTTAATTACAACAATGAGGCTTCTATTTCTCCACACAACAAATGTCAGTTGCTGGCAAATAGGGAGAGGCCAGTTCAACCATGACAGGGCATGGTTTTGTTACAACTTGGGAATATGGTGACAGCTTCACTCTTGACTTCACACAAATCTGGTTTAGTGTGAAATAGAATCTGATTGGCTTGCAAGTCCCAGATTTAATTCTGATTGGTCTGATATCTCTGTGGCTAAAGTATAGATCTAGGGGCTCGAGTGACCATTCATAACGGAATCCTTATGGATTAGATGCAAAGATATCAGTATCAAATATTGATTGTCATACACTTACATATTATTATGATTGTCATAAAGGTTTTCTGGCTGAGTACCTTTATTGACAAAAGAAACTAGGGGATAATGAATTATATTCCATGCTGAGTATGAACTTGCAAGGATTACAGTTTTACAATCCTGATCCCCACT